TCTGGCTGCTGTTTTGCCAGGAAACCACGAGGAAGTGCAAGAGTAGTTCAGCATTGTAATAAGCTCCGGTGCCACTAAAGCATATTCAACTTAAAGGTCAGAAGGATAGGCATGTTGCAAGATGGTGGTAAATCAGAGGCTTTTAGACCGGGCCCCTGCTAAAAAGGCCACGAGGGGTAGAGCACAGAGAGATTGATCGGTGGTGCTCTGGCGATGGGATGCTTTACAAACTGCTGGTGAATGCTATTGATTAAATTGTTAATCTGACTCAACAACAGATGAAAAACAGGTCAGAGCTTGAACATCTTGAATATGCAGGAGTGGAAAATAACTAAGTATATTTAATCAAGTAAAGTACAATTACCAGTTTCAGGTACGTTATTTGTGTTTTAATGTTATTTAATTGTATATGAACTCTTACTCCACTGCATTTTATGGGGAAATACTGTAATTCCTACGTCACTACATGTTTTAGGTACCTGTACTATAGTTACAGATTACTGTGCAGATGAAGATTTTTAAAACTCACTTTCTAACAGTGTATTTTTAAATTGTGGTATTTACTTATCAGTTGTGGAAGAAGTATTCGGATCTTGTACTGAGAAATAACATTACCACAGTCACTCTGTTTAAGTAGAAGTCCTGCATTCAAGAGTAAGGTATAAATGTATATTATTGGATTGTAATTATTGATACATCAATGTGTTCATCACTTTCATCTTGCAGCCGGAGCTCATTTTAAGTGCTTTATATTCTGCTGGGTAGCTTAATCTATAACTATGTCATATTTTATTTCTTGATTATATTTTGTATTACTAAACTGAATCCGCAAAGTAACTAACAAATTAAATAAATAGTGTAAAAAGTACAATATTTACCTCTAAAATGTAGCAGAATATGGAAATGCTCAAGTAAAGGCCAAGTACCTAAACTAAAATTGTACTGAAGTGTCTTAATACTTCTCCCACCATTGGATACTTAGTAAACCGGTAACGGGTCCATACCTGCTGTCAGCAGTCATGTGTACATATTGAATGCCTGTTGATTTCCTAAACATAATCAGAAATGTATATTTACAATATGTTTTTGCCAGAACCAGTTGCCTGATTGCGACTTTGACGTCCACCTCCCAGGGTTAAATATGTTCTGAAGCTTGCATTGCTTGAAACAGCATCACATCGATATTGATATTAACCTTCTCACACCCAGGAGCAGAACGTCTGGGTTTTCCTGCTGAGATTTTGCTGCAGGAAGTGAGACTGTCCTCGTTGTTTACAGGGAATGAATAAAGAAAAGGGTGGCGAATTATTTGGGTCTACTGTATCCGAGCTTCCTTTCTACGCTGCTGTGAAAAGAGAACATGACATTCCTGTGGCTGTGGACCTGTCTGCCTCAGCCTGGCTCTGTCCGTGGTGCTGAACAGAATAAAAAGCAGGCCAGCGGCTGATGCTCTCCATGGTCCTGTAACGCAGCAGCAAAGTATAGAATCTGTACATGCACACATTGCACACCCCTTCAGGACAAAGGGTGATATTGGGCTGTAGGAATAAAACTAACTCGATTTGAATTCAACAGAGAATTAAGAGTAGAGAGGAAGAGACTTCTGTTTACATGCTGCTGAAGAGGACAAAAAAGCTAACATATATATATGCTTTACAAGTATGTAAATATATTCATTTCATAAAATAAAGATCCATTTTACGTAGGGCAGATTTTGTGTTTCTTTCCTCTCAGCAGGAGGGTTTAGCTAACGTCCTCTCATACAAAGAGCAGTCCAGAATCTTGTGCTGGGAGGAAAACTACACAGTGTTTTGTTTGATCCTCAATATGAAAGTCAAAATCTTTTCTAATAAGAGACCTTTGGCACCTGCAAAAAAACAAGAAAATAAGGAAATAAAAAATATAAAAACTCACTCTCATTCAAAAATAACTGTTGGAATGCTTAAATAGAAACCCTCCGTTGACACTTTCACATCCATCTTTGCTGTTGAAATATGCCAGCCCACCTGCAGAGTGTATTTCCCATCCTTCATGATATAGATACATCATAAACTATTGTGCTGTAAAAGTTGTCCAGTGAAGACATCTGTTAGAGCCAGTGCATGCTGTACTTTGAATACAGTACTTTTTCTGGACTATATTTCTGTAGTTTATCAACAAAAACATCATTAACATCTGTACAATCTAATGCAAGTCATCGCTGTCATGCTTTACCCCAAAGGATACCAAGGGGACAAAAGACCATTCATTCCAAACACCAGAATTTAATTTGGTAAAGCAGAGAAATGATGTTGTGAAGTGTAGTAATATGATAATAGGATTGATGCTCATTAAAAGGTGGAGCTTATCAATAAAGTTTAATTGCTAAAATGACATCCTTGCGGGTTAGTATGCACAACCACTTACCTGCTGAACAACAGGGGAAATGATTCCATCATAACAAGCAAATTGTTATTTAATCATCTCATCACCGAAACCATTAACTTTTTAGAGTCAAGAATGACAGACAGCGCACACCTAGAATGGCAAAAGATTAAGGACAGGCATGCGTGCCATTGTTGAGGAACACAGCAGAACAAATGAATTATTGATGGGATGCTTTCAAAGCCTGTGGCATCACTAGGTATCCATTGTTACCTCTGTAGTTGTTTGCAGCTCTTAGCAGGGCGTAGAGGAAGGAGATGAGGCAGGCGGGGATAAAGACCACAAACTTAGCCTCTCTCCTCCTTCCCATGAAGCTAATTGTTAACCTCATTCTCTCCGGGCCACGCATGCCTTTTAGTGCAAATGAGTCTCTCGGTTGTACCCCACTGGCTAGCTAACTGCCACCCTCTACACTGTGATCAACGGTTACCGCTGACTACACCGTTTCAACTTACGAAGTCGTCGAGGAACCGAAAGCGCTCAACCCCTCAGGTAAACACTGTTAGCTCCATGTGGAGAGCTGTGCGGAGGCAATAGATATGATCTGAATTCTTTAATGTCATATCCTTAAGGAAATATAATGTCCAGCGAATTTTAGAATAAAGTAGCTGAGTTTGTATCTGGTTGGGTATAGTTCACTGATCTGGAAAAGAAGAAGCCCAAGTCTCCCCCCCGCCCCTGAAGGAATGGTTTCACAGCCAGGCACTGGGAAACATCTCCAAAACACAGAGAAAATACCCTGTATTCAAAGCAAAGGGGCCCTGGCCATGCGTGAACTGATGCTGATGACATTCACATGTAGCTGTGATGCCTGAGTGGCTTAAGTTGCTCTGGGTGTCTGTGCAGAAAAGCTTGAGGATGGAAGAAAGACAGAGACACATTTTAACCAGACAACTACTTTAGTGGCATTTCCTCTGTTGTGGGCTATGAGTGAAAACGAGTGGAATATACACGCGATGAGTGTGTTAGATGATGTAGGTTATAGGAGACATGAAATGTCATTTGGATTTACTTGAGTTACTCTGTAACTCTTCATGTTAAAAGGGCAAACACTTTTTTACTTACCAATAAATATATAATAAATAAATTGCTTATACATTACATTACATATGGTAATTAGAGGTAACTAATTCCTAGAGATCATGCATACCCCAAACCATTTGCCTCTGAAGAGCACTAGAAGCTTCACATGTGGTTCCCATGGCCCCAGGCCAACCCTTTAAACAAAAACCATGGTTAGATTAGAGAAAGATCCATCGGATGTAAAAGGGATAGGTCTTCGCAGTAGTTCAACCAAGAACCAAAAAGGTTTACCCTATGGGGACAGGACGGAGTTTAATTGTGAAAAGTCCTCACAAAGTCTCACAATGAAACTGAAGAAGTATAATGCCTGGACACAGCTTTTACTAGAAATCACACAATACAATGTAATGCATATTATAGATGTGGAGATTACAGTTATGCAAAATTACACCTGTCAGTAATAACAGGAACATTATTATGATTATAAGTAAGGGTCAGACTAGTCGGACTAGTTTACTCAAGCAGAATTTACTGCCTGAGTACATTATAGAACGTTGTTTTGTGTTTTTTCTTTGGAAATTAGACCAAATACCTGAGAGGATTTTCTTTCATGTTAAAGTGGAGGCATTTGAACAAGATGCGGTGTCGCCGGCTTAAGATCTACAGATGAATTCTAATTGGACCAGTCTCTTGTTGTCCTCCTCTGATCCTATCAAACGCCTCAATAAATGAATGAGATTCAAACAGGACAACCTCAACACTTCAAATTGTAACAAGTGAGCGAATTCTTGCTCCCCAAATGAAATAACTATCACCACCAGCAAACGTGCAGCAGACTAATAACTAACTGGGGCCTCTCATGGGTGAGCAGCAGCTGGCGTTAAGGAATCCATCCCATTTGCTGTGGTCTCACACACCTTAGCTAATCAATGTACACCATGGGCAGTGATTACAAATGAGTCCTAACACTCAGCTACTACAATGCATTTTAAAATGGACTAAATTGATCCCAGACTATTTAAGGAGATCCAGTGATGCTGAATTCCATTCATCATCATGTTTCAGGACATCAATCTGATTTTCTCTTCATGTAGCATCACAGCAAAGACGGTGAAATGAGAACGGTGGATTGGACAAGATTAGAGTTTGCTCAGATGAAATATTTACTCTTCCTACTTTTAAAGCCCCCTACAATCTCTGACTGAATGTGTCTGACACCCCGTTTAAAATCACAGGAGATAGACAAGGGATCAGATATGAAACATGCATGGCCTGTCTGTGCCTGTGTTGTGGATGTGTGTGTGTGTGTTGTGAATGTGTGTGTGTTTGTCTGCAGTATCTGAAGCCCACAGTGCCATCAGGCTCTCAAAACAGGAACTGCTACTTTCTTATAGACCCATCTCCCTCCCTTCTCCCCCCC